ATTTGAATTCAAATGAATATTTTTTTACTCCCCTACACTTCTCTAAAGGCTTTAGATAATAAAATAAGTCTTTTACACAGTGTTTATAATCAATAGATTCTCATCAGTCTTGAATTACTAATGAGTTCTTTAAAACATTTTGAGTCACTTTGTCTGCATCCTCTAAAATCCCATCAGAAACATTCTAGTTTAATTTGTCTGAATACTGTACAAGTGATAAATCTTGAACACATCTGATCTAATTGTTTAGAGAATAATTAAATGTAATAAACAACATGATTCACGTCGTAGTCACACAAACTGCTGAGTCCATGCCAAAATATCACAGACAAGATGTTTGAAATCAAGATAAGAAACACTGCTTTCTCTGTTGTTTACAACAGGGTCAAGAAAGGTCAAGTCTAAATGAAGAAAATAAAAGCTACACAAAAATAACATTTGATGCATCTCACTCAAACAGATTTTAACTCTGCACCATGTCATTTTTTTTGCAAACATTAGGAAATTTGTGTAAATATATATTTTTTCTTTTTCATTTTTTGCCACTTGCTCACAGTTTCACCCACAAACTGATCCTGACGTTTTTGTTTGTTTCAGCTCTGGATACCAAGGGGAAGGTGCTGAGAGTGCTGGTGTCAATTTTAAAGTTTATCGTGCTGTTGGGCCTCCTCTATATGTTCATCTGTTCCCTCGACATCCTCAGCTCAGCTTTTCAACTTGTAGGAGGTAAACATTTTTTTGGCTGGGAGGCATTTGCAGATGAATTATAGAGTTATTAATGCACACGCAGCAAGCTGATTATTAAAACAGTTTTTAAAAAAAGTTTATGTACTGTAAGCTAGTATTATGGCAATCTGCTCTCATCCAGGGGCGTCATCAAGAGGGGGCCAGAGGGAACAATGACCACCCCAAATAATTCTCTTAAAATTCTGCTCTGGCTTTTGGTTTTGTTGCCACTCAGGATTTTCATTGGTCCCGAAATGGCTACCAGATTAGATCATTTTTTTGAAGCACCACTGCCTCTCATCTGGACAACAAATTTTGTCAAAAAAAACCTTAAAATATTCAGCAGACCCCCCTTTTCACCCTGTCCAGGTAAAACGGCAGGCAGCATCTTTCAGGACAGCTCTATTCTGTCCAACCCTCTGGCTGGTTTGGTCATTGGGATTCTGGTCACTCTGCTGGTCCAAAGCTCCTCCACGTCCTCGTCTATAGTCGTCAGCATGGTGTCCTCTGGAAGTGAGTGTCCAACACAAACATCCACACATGAAAGAATTCACAGAATACACTCGGATAAATGAGACGATCAGGCGCTGGTGGACTGATGAAGCGGCTCCGTGTGTGTCCTCTGACAGTTCTAACAGTTCAGGTGGCTGTTCCCATCATCATGGGCACCAACATTGGCACCTCTGTGACCAACACACTTGTTGCCGTGACGCAGGCTGGTGACCGCAGCACCTTTCGCAGGTAAGTTTTACCTTTCACAAAAAATACTTTTATTTACTTATTTGTTAAAGAAATTGAGCAAATCTTACTGATATTGCTGCAAAAAATAGCCATCTAAAAATAAGTTTTAAAAAATACTGAATTATAGCCTGAATCTCATCAAATTAATTAAAGTAATCTGCCAGTGCAATAAGAACATTGCACTAGATACAACAAATTTCCAAGCTAAAAGAAATAATCGAACACAAAAAAGATCAAAAACACTTTTTGGCTGCGTATAAGATTGTAGACATTTTTTGCAGTGTATGATTGGGCCTGGTTGGGTCTAGACCCCTGCAGATATTCTTCTTTAATTCTCCCTCCTTGTTTTTGGGGCGCTTTATCAAAAATAAACACATAAAAAATAAGAAACTTCAATAATACAATAATACTGTGCTTAAGTTTGTGTATAATCTGTTTTTCTCATATTTAAAAAATGCTGAGGTGTATATGTAGACAAAAATACAAAAACAAGAGACTACAAGTAAATATTTCTTTATATCCATGTATTTTATGAACTACATTAAATTTTGTGGCTTCACTGGATTAAAAGTTGTGTTGATGCAGACAACTAAGGGTGTAATGGACAACTTCATCATACCATTTTTAAAACATTAATGTAGCTCAGTTTAGGTCATGGTTAGTCTTTTAAATAAAGCATAAAACTGCTGTCGTCATTGAGCTTCTCCTCTATAATGAATCTGTTTATTGTTGTTTAGGCTTTAAAATCTTATGGGCTTAGCTATTTCTTTATCCCAAAACAGTTGCACAACATATAAGGATTCAGTTATTGTATAAAGTATGTTTTATAAAGAGCAGATATCTGTCTCACCCCTTGCCCCCAGGGCTTTTGCGGGGGCCACGGTGCACGACTTCTTTAACTGGCTCTCTGTACTGGTGCTGCTGCCACTGGAGGTGGCCAGTGGTTATTTGTACATCCTCACTAAACTCATCACGGACTCATTTCATATCGAGAGTGGAGAGGCCCCAGACCTGTTAAATGTCATAACTGACGTCCTTACTGAGGCCATCATACAGGTAAGAAACCACAGAGTTTGAATGCTATTGTACCATTTTCACAGGATGTTCTAATTCAGGTCTGAAGGAATCTGATGCAATATAAAATATAAATGGAGAATGTGGCACAGTAACAAAAAAAAACTGTTTTACTTGAAAAAAAAAGATTTAGTTGCATGAAAAGTTGCTGGATGGAAATTAGCGTGGGATGTTTGATGCGTTTAAATTTTTTTTCCTTGTTCTCAACCTTATCAGAGACCGATAAGCAAACATTATAAAATGTTGTTATCGTTCTCGTGGTCGTATTCAGTTCTTCTGTTTGTCTTCCTGACTCAGCTAGATGAGAGCGTCCTTAGTGAAATAGCCACTGGAAGCCCAGAAGCCCAAAACAAGAGTCTCATCAAGAAATGGTGCCAAACCTACACCAACACTGTAAGACGTGTAGAAAAACGTAAAATATTCTACTCAAACCAGCTACTGTGAAATGCTGTTTTATAAGGATTCCTCTCATTGCGTTTCAGACATTAAAGAATGTTACAGTTCCTGGTCCAGAGAACTGTACCTCTCCGCTTCTCTGCTGGTCCGAAGGCAACAACACCATCACCCTGAAGAACGTGTCTGAGACTTTTAACATAAAGAAATGTAAGAATCAGATGTGTAGTAAACTGTTTAAAGTCCCGACTGTTTTGATTCTTACGTTCCACCTCTGTTGGTGTAGGCGATCACCTTTTTGTGGACGTGAACCTGTCCGACTTGGCGGTGGGTCTGATCCTGCTGGCTCTGTCTTTGCTGGTTCTCTGCTCCTGCTTAATTCTCATCGTCAAGTTGCTGAACTCCATGCTGAAGGGGCAGGTTGCTGCGGTCATCAAGAAGATCCTCAACACCGGTGAGCAGCGCTTCGTTCTGCCTTATTAATCAGTTGCTTGTGATGATTTGGTTAGCAGAATGTTCACAAGTGTGTTCACCTGTGTGTGTTTGTGTGCGTGCAGATTTTCCATTTCCATTTGGCTGGGTCACAGGCTACATTGCCATCCTAGTTGGTGCTGGAATGACTTTTATTGTGCAGAGCAGTTCGGTGTTCACATCTGCCATTACTCCACTTGTTGGTGAGGACAGTCATCCATCCATCTTTCTTATTTTTTTAATACTTTTTATTGTTTCATTGCCTAAATGTAAAGCTGAAATATGTAGCTGTTTTTCTTGTATAGGTATTGGTGTCATCAGCATAGAGAGGGCGTACCCGTTGTCTCTGGGCTCAAATATTGGCACCACCACCACAGCGATTCTTGCAGCCATGGCAAGTCCTGGAGACACACTGGCTGACGCTTTACAGGTGAGGAATCAATCTGAGAAAGCTTGGTTATTGTTACAAAAAATGGTTCATAATAGCCTGACCCTTGCCTTCCTACACAGTTAGCTCAGTTCTAGTTTCCCTTCGCTGCTCCGTGTGGGATTTCTCCGGTTGAATTTCAATTGGGCCAATCAACAAACAGGAGGATTTATGAACGATGACGCCATTTTTTGCTGTTTTAGTCTGCCTGTAAACGGCAGCGGAGGAAGTGAATAAAGCCAGTCCGTGTTGATAAGGCTTCCAAATTAAATAAATATGTCTCACAAAGCCTGCAGCACTCATTTACAATCCATCTTTTCCAGCTTCTCTCTTCAGGGGATGGTTGTTTACAGCGCATGCAATTTCCAGTTAGCTTCTTAGCTTAGCCTCCTTCACCATCGAGCTGGCGCACTTCGTACGTCACGGGCAAACTTTAGCGACTGGGTAAACCCGATACAATTGTTTTAAACATCAACAGAGTCCACGCCTCCAGCAAGAAATCATTCCAAACCCTCTGTTTGAAGCAAAGAGAAGGACAAGGGTCTGGATTTTACCAGGCTAGGTTCATACTGGTGATAAAAACAAAACATTAGCTGGTGATTTTTTAAAGGATTTCCTTAAATTGAAGTTTGAAGAGTTAATTTTGTCAGACAAAAAGTTGCCCACGAAATGTATTTAATTACAAGCGCAATAAAAAAGAATCAGGGATTATTTAACTATTATTTAAAAATGAACTCTTCATATTTATTTGTTAGACAGCTGATAATTAAATGCGTAAGGTTAACAATTTTTATGATTTCTTATTAAGCTTTTAACTAAAACTTTCATCCAAAAAGTAACTTTATAGTAAATAACATTAAGTATATAAAAATTATATCACAAAACCAATTATTTAATAATTACTGTTTACTAGTTCTTAGATGCGGCTAACCCTCTTATTCTAGGTAATAGAAAAAATTGTAAAACAATATAAAATTAATATCTACCTTTACTGATGATGTTGAGAAACTGATACAAAGTACACAGTACACATTAATGACACTGCATCACTTTAATAACACCTACTGATTACAGAGCCTACATGTACTCCTTCAAGTTATGTGAAATATCACATTCAGTAGTTAATGATTACAGAACCATATCTGGATCATGTCAGTGCTTTTTTCTGTTCCTTGTGGAAACTGAAACCTTCAGTAGTTAATATTACTAACCCATTAATTTCTCATTACTCGTTCATTCGATTCTTAATTTATGTTCCTTCAAGTTCTGTGAGGCATCATCTTTAATAGTTAATAATTACTGAACCATGATTTTTTTTATTTGACAAGTATGTCAAGTGAAGTGAAACATCAAAATTAGTAGTTGTGAGTAAAGGATTACTGGGCTGTTATTATTTTAAATAATTTATTTATTATCACCTTAGAATCACTGTTACCTTTTTCATTAACTACACATTTGTTGTTATGAATTACTTACCCAGTAGGAATTAATCCAAGTCTCTAACAATTGGGATTTAGACCACCCCAAGCTAGAACCCTGAAATATTTGCAGGAGACCTAACAGCAGTAGACTGACATTCAAACCCTTTCACCACAATAAGTTGGTAATTCAGAGGTTAGTGTGAAGCAGTCAAGATCCTTATGAAAGTGTTGGCAAATATTTTACACCAGATCCCTTCCTGACACAACCCGGGCTTGAATATCCAACTTCAGGGTTACATGACCATGACCAACAAGCTACAGCAGGCCCCTAGTGACAGAAAGAATGAGATTGTAAAAAAACAAGTGGTTAAATTAAGCATTCTCTGCAAAAAAAATAAACCAATAAATGTGTATTTTCCTAGATTTTTTGTTGTGTACTTAGGTGGTAATTAAATATAAGTAATAAAGTTATTTCTCTGTTCAGATTGCTCTGGTCCACTTCCTGTTCAACATCTCTGGCATCATTCTATGGTATCCCATCCCTTTCACCCGTTTCCCCATAAGGATGGCTAAAAGTCTGGGGAACATCACGGCCAACTACCGCTGGTTCGCTGCTGTCTACATCGTCGTCTGCTTCTTTTTTTTGCCGCTCTTCGTCTTCAGCCTGTCCTTGGCTGGTTGGCAGGTACTGGTGGGTGTGGGAGTACCACTAATAGCCATGTTGCTCATCATCATAGTGATCAATGTACTGCAGAATCGAAAACCACGGTGCCTGCCCACAGTGCTGCGAACCTGGGACTTCCTCCCGCTGTGGGCCCATTCCCTGGCTCCCTGGGATAAAGTGGTTAGTGTTGTTGCAGCCAAGTGCTGCTGCTGCTGCAAGTGCTGTCAAGCTGCAAAGGAGGAAGAGCAAGAAGCACAAGAGCCTGTGGAAGTTTCAGCAAACGGACACAAGGCGGCGTACGATAACCCTGCCATGAGCGCAGAGAAAGAAGTCGAAAATGAGCTACAAATTGAACAAAATATCCATAAAATGACCCCACTCTGAAGTTTTATATTTATTATATGTGTGTGGGATTGTGTGCAATCCAAAGAATGTGGCACAATAACTATTTATGTAGTGACTTTCAGTAGTTTTTTTTATTTATATATACACAAAATTGTCCAACAAAGAAAAATAAGAAATAATGCAGTGCTTGTTTTTCATGCAACTTGAAGCGGCCTTAATTTTTTTTTTTTTTTTTAAAAAAGGCAAAAAATAAAATTTCAAATGCAAATTTTTAGTTTTACTTTTGTAGGGATCACCTGGAGTGAAATAAACAAGGAAATTTGTCTTGGACCTCAGACCTCTGATGGGCCTTTAAAGGGACAAAAACTCTGTTCCACTTAGAACTGAATTTAGGCCACCTCAGGTCGCCTTAACTTGTCAAAGAGACATTTATTTCACATAATCAGACAAAATCACTACAATACACTTAATTGTGAGCAATCATTTTCCTGTAAAAGTTGGGACCGACAATAACAAGCGCTTCGAGCTTCGTTAATCGTCAATCAGACACTTAAATACAACACAAACGTCAAGCTTTGGTGTTGAATACCAGACATTTGAGGCAAAGAGTTTTTGTCCCCCGCCTTAAAGGCCCATCAGAGGTCTGAGGTCCAATTCAGTTTCCTTGATTATTTCACTTGAGGTGACCCCTACACTTTTCAAGAAAGACAAGAAGACTAAATACATTTTACCGTTGTAAGAGCACAAGGTGACAGCCTAACCTTGGTTAAGATGACGTGTGGCTCCTTTTCTTAGAGAACTGAGAACGTCCTGATCAGTGTTTGTTTTAAGGCTGTCAATTGTTAACGTGCCGATGCAATAAAGTGTGGCTCTTCCATTCTTTGGTAATAGCTGATGAGTTAGTGGAATATTTATTTGAAAAATGTTTTTACTTCAATGCGGGATTTGTTTCTTTTAATGAGATAGAACAGAATATTACCAGACCTTCTTAATTTTATGTATAAATGAAACTTTTCCTTCATTACAATGAGCAAACAGCCACTGAGGCAACCAGAGGTTTCTCATAAAAAAGTTACAACAAAACAGCAACAAAGAATAAAAGTTAGATGAAAACCCACAGCTGGTGTTTTATTTGTAACAACCAAGCCCTGAAATTAACGTGACGCTATATTATAAACAATAACTTGAATTTGTCTCTGTATTTAAAATGCGTCACAACATTTGTCAACAACTTTAATAAGATTTGCACAAAGTTTAAAAGACACAATGTTATCATGTGTTCACACAGCTTGTCATTTCTTGTGTTTTTACGTCTTTTATATTTACTGTGCCTTAGTGACAAACAAAGATCCTCAACACATCGTTTTAAGGTGTAAAATTATTTTGTAATCCCAAAAAATTTGTATTCCAGGAATATGTAGATCAAATTTAGATGACTGGACATCTAAAACAGTTTTGCATGTTTGTCTCATTTTAACTTCTGTAATAAAAAAAATAACATAAAACAATAAAACATATGACTGACGTTCATTAGTCATCCACTGGACTTGGTATTTCTGATATTTTCTGAACATACTGCTGACTATGTATTTATTGCCTTTTTTTATCAGCGTTATCAGTTCTTCTGAGTGTATCATTTCTAATGAAGACTTCAAAGATTTCAGAGAAACAAACATGCTCTGTACCTAAACATTTGATAACCCTTATCAGCATCTTATCACATTCAGTTTTTGTAACAACCGTCTTTTCGCAAATGAAGTTTTCTGCCTCCACTTTTTCTTGCAGTTGTGAAAGTTTTTTTTTTAAATATCTGGAGTTTAAATTGTCTGGTTTATTCCCTCTGCTGTGCCAGCTATACAATAATGAGATGTGTCAGAGAGCAATGTACAAAAAAAAAAAACTGTGATGTAGCTAATCAATATGTCAGCACTGATAAAATACACCCCCTCACACAGCACAATGATCGCAAGAGTACATATTCCATGTGATGTGTCTCAGTATGTTATATATGCCGTCCTGATCCTTGGTTAATGTGTGAGGAAGTCTGTGCTTCAGGTGCTTTTTGACCTTTAATGTTATTATAAATTCAATTCATGAAGTGTTGAATTTGAATGAATTTTTTCTTTAAGTTAAAAAAAAGAAATAAATATGATGTGCAAAAGCATTAAAATCGATTAATCTTTTGTGAATAAAGTTTTGTACAAAATATAGAGGCTTTTAAATTTTAAGAAACAAATTCAAGCTCCTTCTCGTGTGTTAAATATCCACAGAGTTCCCTTTAATTATATAGATTCCACTTCAGTGGTGATTAGTTCTGATTAGAAAAGAATGAATAAATTAATCAACCTGTTATTGGTCATTAAACTTATCTGGTGCCCTCATTTTAAAGTAGAGGGAAGAACAGGAGGAAAGAGTCTCTTTTTTTTCTCCCTCTTTATCATTCATGATTTTCTCTCTGTTATGTTTGTCTGACAGTCTGGAATTTAAAAAAAGATTTTTCAAATTGATTAAATGCGATGAACTAGAGGGGGGTTATAATTTAAGAGGTGAAGGATATTTTAAAAAACAACATGTTAGAACAACCAGGAAGAGTTTTTGTTTATCAGTGTGTGGAGTAAATGTCTGGAATGGATTGAATGATGAGTTAAAAAAATTACAAATGTAAACCAATTTAAAAAAACTGACTAAAGCAGAGCTCATTTCAAAATATGCTATATAAGATGTTTAATGTTCAATAGTCTATAATGTAATTGATGATATAAATAGTACTTAAAATAATTCTACATAGTTAAACATGATGTAAAATGGAAACAAGTTGTCTCTTTTTGATGTTCTGAAAGTTCATTGATAATACATTGACAAGTAGGAAAGGGGCAGGATATTATAAGATGTATCTTCTACCTGCTCCTTTTCGAACAGAAAATATAAAATTTTGCATGTCACATGGGCAAAATAATTTGTATTACATTTTATTTCTTAAGTTTGTTTCATTCTATTTTATTTTTCTTTTCTTTTTGTTTGTTTTAATGTCTGTTCGAAATAAAATTAATTAAAAAAACTAACACAATATACTCCTTATCGATGACGTGGGAGACGACACAGAAACATTACCTAACTGTGATTTCAGGTGGATGAGTTCAGGTGCCACTGAGTTCAGAAGCTTTAATTGTTGCGCTTGTGTTGATTTTGTATCAGTGTTTGTTTATGATTGTGATTCTAACAGATAATAATCCCATTAAATATTTTGAACCTGACTATAAATTTCTTTAGTCACGTTGAGATCATGAGTGAAGAGGTTCACAGTGCTCTGAAGCCTGTTATTGTTTGAACTTGCAGCACCAGTAACAAAATCACCTTTTTTTAATTCTAACTACTCGTTCACTGCTCAAATGTCAGACTTGTTTCTATCAGTAAAACCTAAAATTAAACCCTGTTACTACAGTCTTTAGTTTTGGTACAATTTGTCTTGACAGAGCAACTACACCACCTAATGGCGGTGATATGTGTGCAGAGATGGATTTCACACACACACACACACACACACACACACACACACACACACACACACACACACACACACACACA